GTAGATTTCAAGATCTTGTAGGCAAGTTGGGAATGATTGATATTCATTTACCAACTTGAGGGGGAGTGTTGTAATTTGAGATAATATCTTTAGAATCTTCCTAATTAGAGGAAATAGATACATAATCTTTTATTTCATTTTATTTTTCCTAGTTTTCCTATTTTCCTTTTTAGGAGAACTAGATTATTACAAATAGAGGGTATGAGAATGTATTTTTTATGATTTGAGAATAATAAAATAAGTCTTATTTTCAACAATTAGTGAGTGGGAAGGGGAAGGAAGACTTTATAAATAGTGTGTGTTCTGTACAGGGGGGATTATTCATTTTGTATTCTTTTGGTATAGACTGGATTGTTCCAGTGGAGGGAGAGAGGCTTCTTTGGGGGGTGATTCTTTGTACATTGTTTCACTCATACATCAATAATATACATAATGTTGTGTCTTTTCGTGTGTGCTTGAGAGTTAAGGAGTGTTGATCAGCTTCTTGACAAAAGAAGCCTATCAATAACCTAGGATGGTTTGGTTATATCTTTTGGGTTTGTTGCTTAAGAATTCCTCTTTTGCATGGTTTGGGCACTTTTGGACTATCATCTAGCAATTTTGTATAATACATTTTTCTCTGTTTCATTGTGATTTTCTACATGCATCTAACTCATTGTATATGTGTACTCATTGTTAAGAAAGACACTATTTGACATACAATATATTGCTTAAAAGTATCATATATAAGATCTTGGCCACCTAAGGTATTTCCTTGGTATAGAAGTGGACAATCCACGGATGGTTTGGTTATATCAAAGGGAAAAGATGCTTTCCACATTCTAGAAGAACTGGGGATGATAAACTAAGCCTTGGAAATACCAATGGATCCGAGTGTCAAATTTCCACTTGGCCAACTAGAACCATATTCTAATCCTAGGAGATACAGAAGGTTAGTTGGCGGACTAAATTACCTCTTTGTGACTCATCCTAACTTCTCTTTTGCTATGGCATAGTAAGTCAATATTTAAATTCTCCCCGTTACGACAATTGGGATATCATTGTGTGATCCTAAGTATATTAAGAATGCCTTCGAAAAACTCATATGGATAAAAGCAACTCCTCAAAAAGCTCAAATTGGAAGAGAGCTCCTAAATGCACCTTGCACATGACAACAAGGCAGCATTACAAATTTCCTTTAATCATATCTTTCATGATAGGACTAAACATATTGAGGTAGATTGTTACTTTCTAAGGAACAATCGGAGTCTAGATCACCACTAAACTTGTCAATCCTAGTGAACAATTGGCTAACTAGATCACCAAGAATCCATTACCTTTGTAGTACTCATAACATACGAGTTACATGCTTCAACATGAGAAAGAGTATTATAATATAGAGATTTAAGAACCTAGTCTTATACAATCACAAACATCAAGATTATATATATACTATTAGGATTGCTTTTATTTACTCTAATGACTTTGTTATTAGAGCATATCATATCCTATATTTGTTGTATTGATTCCTTTTTCACAAAATAAATAAGGCACCTCTGATGTTTAAAAGAACACGGTTTCAACTTAATGTTTCTCTCTTACCTAGAGTTTAATATTCTTTATGTATGTTGAAATGTAATGTATTTTAGTAGTAGGCTTTTTAGGAGCCTTCTGTTTTTTGTTTTATGCTGAACTACTATTCATATCTCTTATATAAGTATGATTAGTGATGTATTAGGGTTAAGAGAAAATAATA